TCACCCAGAAGGATATTACGCCGGTAATATAACGTCGTAAAATGGGAAGTGAAGACGCGCACACACACATACACGCATTCGTACTGGAAAGAGCAGCCAATCGGCTCACAGTGAAAAAAGCTCGACGCTCGAAGGCAGTGGGGGAGGAAGGAGCGGCGTCTAGGAAAGTCGTAAAATTATAAAGTCAGTCGATGCGCTTCACGAACGATGCACTATAGTCGATTAAATGATTCCGTATGCATAACTCGTTGGCACAACTCGAGATATTACTCTTCCTTCCTTTTTCTCCTGTGTCTCTTTCTTTTATCTATTTATCTCTTGTCCGGTTCTTCGTTTATCTTTCTCGATCCGTGTGTGTCTCTTACGATTACGCCCGCAATAAACCGATATCTTGGGATGTCGTTAAGATGAAGACTTTCCATGGTTTCCATCCATCTCACCAAACAGCAAAGTCGTAGTTTGTTAATTAATGAACGATTTCGCTGCGGGCTACCGCGAATCTTGGTTCAATGAAGTACGCTGACCAATGATCATTAATTGCTCGATTACGGTCTCGGCGTATGAACGATGGAAAATGTTAATTGCATGCGAACTTCGCGGAATCGAATTCAATACCGAGCCTTTATACTATATACAAAACATTAACTTTTATAGGTGGACAGTTATACGCTCGCGTAAGAGTTTCACGGTGATTAGAGTCGCCTGCCCCTCGTATCGTCGTGTCCGATGATTTGCCTCTGAAGACGACACGACCGAGTGATTTCGATAAATCACTTCCACGCCGGGAATGCTTGTTGCAAATTATTATGCGGAGTCGCCGTAAACCCGCATGACACGCCCAACATCCGTCTCGGTGACTCACGATTCGTGCTTTAATTCTCGTGGCAATTAGTCGATCCTCCTTTTCTATCCCTTCTCGTGTCAAATTTAGTTTACGATTTTGCTTAATTGTTTACGCGGCTTTTCCATCTTTTACCGTTTTTATTTCCGATTATCCATGAGACGAGGGGTGCAGGATATGCGAACACAGGGAGGGCCGCGAAATATTGGAGAATAAGCGCCAGTTGACAGTGTAGAAACAGAGAAGGGGGAGGGAGAGAGAGAGAGAGAGAGAGAGAGAGAGAGAGAGAGAGAGAGAGAGAGAGAG